TGTGAAGTGTTGTCCCAGTCAGGGCTATCCCCTGCACACTGATCAAGGATGAGCCACTCATCAGTATCTAAGCCATTCTGGTCTTCCCCAATATGTTGTGTTTCTTGGTCATGTGATAGTTGTGTGAGAATTTGGAATCTATTGTATAACTGCAGCTGAGCGGAAGTATTCTGAGGAGGCTTCCGGGTCCTATGTGTCCTTCTAAGGGTGACATTTCTCCAAGCTTGAGGGTTGTCCACATCTGAGGTGCTGTTCTCTTGAGCATCCCCGTAATGTTGGTGTGATATGGGCTGCGTGTCTAGGACAGTGTGGTGTGTGGTGTCTAAGAACAGCTCAAGTTCCTGAATGTCCTTAAGGGTCTTAATACGGTCCTCGAGTTGTCGGATCCTGTGTTCCATGCGAGTGATCTGTTTACACTTGGGGCAGATGTAATTGAGTAATTGTAGTGTGAAAAAGCTGAACATGCCACAGCTTGTGCATGAGACAGGAAGTTTTCGTGTTTGTTCCATATGCAGGTTGCTAATGACCTCCTCTTGGTGTGTGTTTTATGTTGTTGTCTGTATGCAGGGGTGAAAGTATAGGTTACTGAGTGTACAACTTCTGTGGGAGCCCAGCTGCCCCTTGGGTTCAGACGCTGGTTTATATAGGATAACCAGGGAGCCCCGCCTCTCAAACAAAGCAGTTAATTTTTAAACTCAGGAAGCCCCGCCTCTCTTAATGTGTGAAGCACTCTAAAACAGTTAAGTTGGTAAGCCCTGAAACCTGAACTATCTTAAAATGGTTAAGTATTTTGGTTCTGAAATGAACATTCAAGACAGATTTTCAGTTAGGAAAATAAATCAATGCATTTTTACAACTAAGTATTTTCACTTTACTATGAATAGCAGTAAAGCAAAATATAATAACAATCATTTACATATTTCATGAGTCTGAGTGCTGATGTGCTGTGCATAACTTGTTCGCCCACTGGTAACAGCATGACATATATTTGAATAACACGCAGAGTAAGCTGAATATGCAGTTCCATAAAGAGTTCACAATACTCTAAAAGACTTGAATTATGGTATTTCAGATATCCTTGGATTCAAAGCTATGTTCACCAATTTCCATTTTAAACTTCAAATTCAAATAAAATTAAGACACTTTTCTTGTGCTAGGAATTACCTCAGATTCATATTTTAATTTATTCTCTTCTAAAATACGAGCATGTTCTTCTCTCTGATGTTCAAACTCTGATTTCACGAAAGTATGTTCATATCGAAGTTTGTTATATTCTGCTCTGTATTTTTCTACTTCCTAAATTAAAAAGAACATGGGTGAATGAACTGAAGAACAAACAGAAGTGAGTAAAAATGTGTAAAATGCCCAACACCACCAGCAATGGGCAAATGAAATACCGTAGTTAGGGCACAGATCATGAGATCAAGGATAAGTCATTCTGCATACTGTTTAAGCACCACATTTCAATGAGAATGTTGACAAATGAAAAGGGCAGCTAATAGGATTATGCATAATTTTGTTTTTAATTCATATTTAGGATCCAATTTGTTAAATTTGTGCATATGAATCAATATTAGAAACATGCAGCAAAGGTGGAGGGAATTTAGAAGTTGAAACACTCACCAATACTTTTCATTAAGATTCTGTAACATTTGGATGCCTCCCAAGGGCAGTTTAATTTTCAGTATAAGCATTAAGCAACCTTGGTAAAGCCAAGAACACATAAAGTGCTTTAAAAACCAACCCTTTTTCTTTGGCCCGATTGCCATAAGGAAGGCACTGGGGGTGGGACCAAAGTTAATGAGCGGGAGACTGAGAACACAGCCATCTTAAATTAGTTTGGGAAGGCAAGGCCCCCTGTGGCAGAGAAGGCCCTGCTCTAAACTACATTTGCCAGAATGCAGTGCTCAGCATCAGAAACCCCAATGACACCAGTAGTTTAGAGTCAGTAATAAATAGAATGATTGAATCTGCAAAGAGGACTAAAGTAAGTAAGTAAGTAAGTAAGTAATAGAATAAATATTATACTAATAGCAATCTGTACTAAGTTTAAGTTATGTGGTTGTGTGTCATAAAGACAGATATACATTCAAGGGAATTGCTGTTGTCGCATTTTAGGGGATTAAATTGTTTTTGTCTAAACTTTTTAAATCCCCCAAAAATCTGTAGATGTGTGAATCTTTCTGAAACTTCCGTGGATTAGTGCCCTGGTTATCTTGTGCATTGTATGTAAAATTCAAGTAGATCGCTCTTGTAGGGGTTTTTTTAAATGCTGTTTATAAAAACTTTGAAAATTTCCCAAAAATCCACAGATAAGTGAAACATTCTGAAATTTGGTGGGTAACAGTGCGTTCTACCATTGTAGCAAGTGTCATTCCAATAGCTTTAAAAATGAGGGAGAAAGGAGCCTCTGAAGTTTCTCCAATAATAGTAGTTATGTGCAATTACTATAACGAAATAGTAATAAAATTTCGTTACTCTCATTATAATAACAAATGTTTTACAAATTATATTTTAGAAACACTTTTGAAACAAAGCACCAGCACCTCTCACTTTTGTAATGATTTTTCAATCATTTTTAATGGATCACACAGCCCTAGCAGCTAACAAGTCACAAAAGCAATTCATTTGAAGATCGGAAGCGTTCATTAGGTTTAGGGCTGTTTAAGAACTGATTATATGGGAAGTCTGGACAGATACCTGTCATTTTATGGAATACCATATTTCTACTTACTTCATCCAGCTTTCGAAAGCGTTCTCTCATAGGTGTTTCTAAGTCTTGCTGTATTTGTGCTTTCAACAATTCAAGCTTCTGTGGAGTTATGACCTAAATGTCACCAGAAAAAAATACAAAGTAGCTCAACAGCAGTTGCAACAAAGAATACGTGTTTGAAAGCAGATAATGTTTACTCTTTGTATCCTGCTGTTACCAAATAAAATTCCATTGCCATCTGGTTACATTGCTGAAGTACTGAAACTGGTAGCAAACAAAGAAGTCACAGTCCTCCTTTGAACCACTGACTAGATAACAAGATTCTCTTCACTTAATCATGAACTGGAGCTAATGGGAATAAGTCGTGCTTAACTGAGTGATGGTCACTTCTGAACAAGTGTTAGATTGCACACTCACAAGATCGTACTGGACAATTTCTGCCACAAAGGCTGTTTTTGAGAGTATATGAACATTTGTTCACAACATTTAACTGTCATTATGAAGAAAAATCAATTCTGAAAGCTAGCATGTTGAACAAGAAGTGGGTATATTCAGATTCAGATTTATTCAGATTTAAAGTCCTAAAAAAGGTATAATTTAGACTAGAGTAACCCCAACAAGAACTGAAAACACTTTTTTCAAAGCTTTGTATTTTCATAGCAAACTACATTATTTACTAGATCAAAGAAAGCAAGTCAGAAAACCTGAAACACTTTTCTAGGAAGCATATAACTCTTTTCTGATTTAATCAATATCTCTCTTACCACTTTACTAAAAAAAATACAAATTAAGCTGCATAAAATCAGTTCATGGAGCAACTGTTCCATGTATTCCATATTAACAAGACACAGTGAAACTAGTTCCATGAGGCCAAATGCAGCTAAGATTTCTTTTGAAATAGCAACATGCAATGCTTAAGGATAAGTTGCTATTAACCGAGTCATAGAATCAAAGAGTTGGAAGAGACCTCATGGGCCATCCAGTCCAACCCCCTGCCAAGAAGCAGGAATATTGCATTCAAATCACCCCTGACAGATGGCCATCCAGCCTCTGTTTAAAAGCTTCCAAAGAAATAGAGTCCATTTAAAATAAGTTTGAATTTAGTATGGAAATTCTACATCCAAAGAAGGAAAAGGAGGAGATACACACTGGCTTACACTGCATGACCTGAAGCATTTCTTTAACTATTAGGTGGGTGTTAATTTAAAAAATCCAGACACAATGGAAAATAATAAAATGAGGGCTAAAATGTATGGCAAACGAATGCAAAAGTTTGATGTTCACAAAACCATGTTGAAAGCATACCTGCATCTTTAATTCCTCTATTTCTCTAGTTTTGGACAATAGTTCCTCTCTGAGTTCAGCAAGCAGAAGCTGAAATTTTTCGTGAATAGTTTGTTTTTCATGCAACAGCTGTTTGAGCTCATTTTGCAATTTCGTATATTCATCGAGTAACCTGCAAGGGGAAATAACCATAAATGTTGTTTTGTTTTCTATCTACAGAGTACATATTTATATGGCACAATTTTACATATACAAAATAGAGGAAGCATGACAACTAGGACTATTAAATGAAGAGATGAGGCTAGAGTAATATCAAAATTAGCAGATTTAATGTTCTCTTCCTAGTTTTAAGTATCTTCAAACTACAAAAATAATAATTGCCCCAAAGCAGCGATTTCCTGTCTCCTGAACACCTAATATTGAGAATTGCTGCAATCAATTTACTTACACAACTACCTCATAACTTGTTTTCAGTACTGAATGTATTCATTACTGAAAGTTAGCAACAGCAAAGGAAAATCTTTCTTGCCTTTTCAATTTACAGTGAAAAAGAAAAGAAAGGCCCCTACTATACCTTGTATGTTCTGCTTTTAGAGTTTGATAATTAGTTTTATGATGTTCACATCGTATCCTCTCATCAATTAACAGTTTCTGCACTTCCGCATGTGAGCTAGCAACATCAGCATTTCCACCCACTGAAGAAAGGATGTTTGGCAAGGTATCCATTCTGACAGGAAGTGAATGAGATGACAACCAAGCAAAATCGTTGTCAGCACAAGCCTGCTACTGTCATAGAGACGGCTTTCTCTCCAGTTGGCATCCCTAGAGGACAAATTACCTGCAAAAACAGAAAAGCACCCAATTAGTTGTTAATATATTCATAATTTAAAGGGCTCCTCTTTAAATCTGAGTTGAAGCTCTTCATAATTTCTTTGACAACTGTGCAATTATATTTTTGGTTGGTTTCATTTTCAAAACCACCTCATTAAACCAAATATATAAACTAGCAATGAAAATAACTCTTTATTACTTGAACTTTCTTTCTGTGCCATACTGTTGGGAGGTCCCTTTGGGGCCAAAAGATCTGTTCCATGTGTGAAAGATAGCCAAACTGTTTTACCTCATGGTGAAAATGTATCCTACTTAATGATAAGTGCAGCAGCTACCATTATACTAACCTATCAACAGAAGTAGCAGAGTGCTTTATCATGTAATGTTAAAACTTGCCTGGAGCAAAACAAAACAAAACAAAAACAAAAACCAACTTTAAATGCCAGTAAGGCCTTCTCACAATATAAGCTTATCTTGAATGTTGTGTTATAAAGTAAACTGCACCCTAAAAAGCAGGACATACATATCATCCATAATATTTTTTTTATTCAAGTATTTCATCAAGCAAATAACATCACCATTTAGTGCTCTTAATATGCCCACTCAAAGAAATGCAGGGGCCTAAGTGTTGCCAGAAAGCTAGCAGCAAAAAATCCAAATCTGCAACTAACACTGTAAGACCATTTAAAATACTGAACTGAAACAACACATGGGAAAATTCCTTTAATAGAAATTTCATCCACATAAATGACTGCTATGTTAAACATGTTTACAAGTCGTTAAATTGCTTTTAAATCTTACTATTTTGACGAATGTTTATAGTTATTGGCAGAGAAAAATAGCATATAACGAAACAAATTTTAGGATTATACTGACATCTTCTGGGAAATTTCAAAACATTCAAACGGTATGTGAAGTAATTTTTCTAGACACATTACTCCACATTTTTTGTGTCAGGAGTGATATGAGAAACTGCAAGTCACTTCTGGTGTGAGAGAATTGGCCGTCTGCAAGGACATTGCCCAGGGGACGCCCGGGTGTTTTATCATCCTTTGGGAGGCTTCTCTCCTGTCCCTGCATGAGAAGCTGGAGCTGACAGACAGCTGACCCCGCTCACTGGATTCGAACCGCTAACCTTTCGGTTAGCAGTCCTGCCGGCACAAGGGTTTAACTCATTGCGCCACCGGGAGCTCCATTTGAAAAATTAAGTGATTGCCTAATAATATCTATTTTTAAAATGTCAATGGAAGTAACAATATAAGTAGCATGGCACAAATAGTTCTGCAATCACTTTTTAACAGATTTCTAGATAACGTATCTTTATCTATAATGGTATTAAGGTAGCAACCCCTGCAATTTGCTTTGCAACTGTCTAACAGACTTAACAGATCCTGCCCAGGGAATCATTTTCTTAAGAAATATATAGCAATAAAATAATAATGAAGCTGTTTGTACCTGTATGCCATTCCTATACAAGAAAGTATTTGCAACATCTATCAACAGGCATATTACATCAGATTAACAACTTACAAAAACAATTCCTGATAGCATTTACACATTTCTTTAGGACAGTGGTTCTCAACCTGTGGGTTCCCAGGTGTTTTGACCTACAATTCCCAGAAATCCTAGCCAGTTTTCCAGCTGTTCGGATTTCTGGGAGTTGAAGGTCAAAACAACTGGTGACCCACAGGTTGAGAACCACTGTTTTAGAGATGTAGGAATCTTTCAGTTAAAGCATCTGCTTCAATAAATATTTTTGGAAAGACATTTCCCCTGAAGTGTAGCTCTTTTTTGCTGAGGTATAATAGTAATGCCATCAACTTCATTTTCCACTTATCGGTTCCACTGAGAAAAAAATCTGATTGGCAATTGAACATTCTATTTCACTGAAACAGTGATTACAATATAATACCCTTCTAGGATGGTGAATGGTGTAGCACCATAATCTTACATATAGCTAAGATAGAAACCACATTTCACTTTGTTGGCCTTACTCTCATATGATTACAGCTCAGAAATTAAAATGGTCCAGGATATGTGGTGCAATAAATGGGTTTTTATTTAATTTACATCCCATCTTTCTCTATGCATAAGATGCATGATGGACAAAACAGTCTGGCTTCAGACCGGGACATGGTACCGAGACAGTCTTGGTCGCCTTAGTGGATGATCTGCGCCGGGAGCTCGACAGGGGGAGTGTGTCCCTGTTGGTGCTGCTGGACCTCTCAGCGGCCTTCGATACCGTCGACCACGGTATCCTTCTGGAGCGCCTTGCGGGGATGGGTCTCGGGGGCACTGTCTTACAGTGGCTTCGGTCATTCCTGGAGGGTCGGTCCCAGAAGGTGTTATTGGGGGACACCTGTTCAACCCCACAATCCTTGTCGTGTGGGGTTCCTCAGGGCTCAATACTGTCCCCCATGCTGTTTAATATCTACATGAAACCGCTGGGTGAGATCATCCGGAGTTTCGGGTACGGTGTCATCTGTACGCAGATGATGTCCAACTCTGTCACTCCTTTCCACCTGCTACTAAGGAGGCTGTCGAAGTCCTGAACCGGTGCTTGGCCGCTGTAACGGTCTGGATGCGGGCGAACAAATTGAAATTGAATCCAGACAAGACAGAGGTACTCCTGGTCAGTCGCAAGGCCGAACAGGGTATAGGGTTACAGCTTGTGCTGGATGGGGCCGCACTCCCCTTGAAGGCGCAGGTTCGCAGCTTGGGTGTGATCCTGGATTCATCGCTGAGCCTGGAGCCCCAGGTCTCGGCGGTGACCAGGGGAACATTTGCACAGCTTAGGCTCGTGCGCCAGCTGCGCCCGTACCTTGGGAAGTCTGACTTGGCCACGGTAGTCCACGCTCTGGTTACATCCCGTTTAGACTACTGCAACGCTCTCTACGTGGGGTTGCCTTTGAAGACGGCCGGAAGCTCCAACTAGTCCAACGCTCGGCAGCCATGATACGAACAGGAGCGGAGCGCAGGGAGCATACAACTCCCCTGCTGTACCAGCTCCACTGGCTGCCGATCTGCTACCGGGCTCAATTCAAGGTGCTGGCATTGGCCTATAAAGCCCTAAACGGTTTCGGCCCAAAATACCTAACTGACCGCCTCTCGGCCTATGAGCCCACGAGGACTTTGAGATCTTCCGGGGAGGCCCTGCTCTCGATCCCGCCTGCCTCACAGGCACGGCTGGTGGGGACGAGAGATAGGGCCTTCTCGGTGGTGGCTCCTCGGCTGTGGAACACCCTTCCCGTGGACATCAGGCTAGCCCCCTCCCTGCTAATATTCCGCAGGAAGTTAAAGACCTGGCTATTTAAGAAGGCATTTGATCAATAAGTGCAATGACTGGCAATTGACCATAGGAATGGAACACGGAAATGAGATCGGATTGTGGCTTGACGATGAGACGATTCGGAATGTAGTAGTAATTTTGTAGTAATGTTGTTGTCTGATAAGATGTTTTTATGATTATGATGAATTGTACACTGTTTTGCACTATGCTTTGTAGATTGCACTTGTTTTTCTTCATGTTGTACACCGCAATGAGTCGCCCTTGGAACTGAGAATTGCGGTATATAAGCGCAGTAAATAAATAAATAAATAAATAAATAAATTAAAAAAACATTTCAACTAAAAATGCAATAAAAATGCTTAGTACAAAAGTAAACATAAAATTAAACCAGCTTCTATTTTTTTTTTTTTAAAAGTAAAATGTAATAAAATAAACACAACTCTCACCTATACCTAGAAAAAGCTCTTTATTTATTTATTTACAGTTCTTATATTCCGCCCTTCTCACCCCGCAGGGGACTCAGGGCGGATTACAGTAAACACATATATGGCAAACATTCAATGCCAGTTTGACAAACAACATTTAACACACAAATACACCGAGGCTATTTAACTTTTTTCTGGCCGCCAGGGGAGCTGCTGCTTTTCATCATCCATCAACGACACCGATGAAGTTCTTCCGCATTCCACATTCCCCGGAGTCTTTTTTCTTTATGGCCTCATAAATTAGTTAAATTTATCTTTCTGCAACAATGTATCAAAAACAAAATGCCTCTAAGTAAAAAGGTTTTTACTTGTTAGTGAAAAGACATTAGGGAAAGCAGGGTTTAAATCCTCAGCAATGGGAGGCATTCGGTCTGTCACAGTTTTTGAGTCCCTGGTGGCACAATGGGTTAAACCCTTGTGCCGTCAGGACTACTGACAGAAAGGGTGGTGGTTCAAATCTGGGAAGCAGGGTGAGCAGTCAATTCTCTCACACCAGAAGCAACTTGCAGTTTCTCAAGTTGCTCCTGACACATACAAAAAAAATAAACCCTTTTTGAGGTGAACTTACCTCCCAAGGCCGTCGTGCAGATAAAAATGAGATGGAGAATCATCTATGCCATCTGGAGATCCTGGGGGGCGGGGTTAAAATAAAATATAACAAGTTATTAAAAATTGGGGAGAATTAGCACTAGCGTCAAGAGACTGACTATACTTAATGCTCATTTTACCTATACCATGTTGCAAAGCTTTCTTGCCACAAAACAGTAAAAAAAATACATCTCGTAGAAAAGGCACCTGACATGTGTCAACACTCCAAGTGAATCCACTCAATTTATTTATTTATTTATGACATTTATATGCCACCCTTCTCACCTCGAAGGGGATTCAGAGCGGCTTACAAGTAATATACAATACAATAAAAACACTATCTTCCTGAACCCCTCTCTTTACTCTGGTCCCAGAGCAGCAGTTGGTGTTGAGGGGAGGGGCTCCCAACTGATGATACTGAAGACAAGATGGCACTGTCTTCTTGGCCCCTCTCTTTACTCTGGTCCCAGAGAAGCAGTTAGTGTTCCCATCTGATGACACTGAAGCCTCAATCATCTCAGCATCTTTATTAGACATGTCACATGCTGGACCTCTGTAGCCACAGATTCAACTATTTTGGCTTGGAAAATATTTCTAAAAAGTCCAAAAGCAGATCTTGATTCTTTAATATATGTGTGTGTGTGTGTGTGTGTGTGTATATATATATGACACCATTTTACTACTCCATTGGATGTAATGGGACTTGAGCCTCTATGGATTTTTTTTTATCTAAAGAGGAGAAGTGCCCTGGCACCAAACCCCAGCCGATACCAAGGGACCACTGTACTCAATAGCACCACTGGAGAGTCAGTGACATGGAGGAGCTCCATTAGGAATTTATGATTAGGCTATGAACAAGGATAGATAAATTGGCTTAAAGGCTTCATAGTGGTTCAGTGTTAGAAGTCAGGGTGAAGAGCGCAAAAGTGTGGGGAAGAGGTTTTATTTTGTATGGGATATGGGTTTGGGGTGTGTGTATGGTCTGTAATACATCATCTGTTGCTGTTTGAATGTTATGGTAAATTCTTATATTATTAAAAATTAAATTATAACCCTAACTGGAAAATACAACATATTAAATACACACACAAAAAATTATACCATGCAACCATTAAAAAAGTTTATTTTTTCTGTTTAACTGTTTGCTACTTACTTTGAAAGTAGTGGTTATACTCCAGAAACTGCCACAAACTATGGCTCCTTCCACACTGTCCTATATTCCAGAATCTGATCCCAGATTATATGTTTATTTCACATTATCGGGCAGCACAGGTTCATATAAACAGGGTTCAAAGCTGATATTCTAGAATCAGATCCTGGGGTGTGGAACAGAGTAGATCCAGCCAATGCTGAATTAGTTGAGACTCTGAGACATTCACTGAAAAACTATAGCAAAATATGCTGCAGGATGTCCCACCAAAACAAAGTTTTTGCAGTTTAAGATTTTCCCCCCATGTTTTTATGATAGAATCTATAAGGAAATGACATTTATAACACAGGAACAAAAATCGCATTGCATAGTGTTGTCATTTTTTTTTGTCGTGTCAGTAGCAACCGCTCCTGTTGTGAGAGAATTGGCCGCCTGCAAGGACATTGCCCAGGGGACGCCTGGATGATTTTTGATGTTTTATCATCCTTGTGGGAGGCTTCTCTCATGTCCCCGCATGAGGAGCTGGAGCTAATAGAGGGAGCTCATCCACCTCTCCCTGGATTCGAACCTGCGACCTGTCAGTCTTCAGTCCTGCCGGCACAGTGCTTTAACCCACTGCGCCACCAGGGGCTCCGGTGTTGTCATGAAATAATGGTTTTCTGAAACATGACTGGATTTACATATTGCTATTAAAATTCATAATACCAATAAATACTGTAGAGCATATATTATGAGATATACATTAGTGTAACGTAGTGGTGACCACGTGCATCTACAGCAGGCATGGGCAAACGTGGGTCCTCCAGGTGTTTTGGACGTTAACTCCCAGAATTCCTATCAGCCTCGGGCCCTTTCCTTTTCCCCCACAGCCCCCCTTAAACTGAGGGGGGAAAGAAAGGGCCTGAGGCTGTTAGGAATGGTGGGAGTTGGAGTTCAAAATACCTGGAGGGCCCAAGTTTGCCCATGCTTTGATCTACAGTATAGAATTAATATAAAATTAAAATGACACCACTTTTAAATGCTACGGCTCAATGAGATGGACTCCTGGGAATTGTAGTTTCACAAGGTCTTCTCTGCCAAACAGCGCTGGTGTTTCGCCAAAGGACAACTCCCAGGATTCCACAGCAGTTAAAAACGATTTGGAACTGAATTAATTTTACAGTGTGACCAGGAAGAAGAAAAATCACGACCTGGGTTTGGAAGATTCCCCCTGGCCTGCCTCACAGGGCTGTTGGGTGACTACAGGCCGAAGGGGCCTCGCGACTAGGCTAGGCGCTCCTTCTGAACAATCAGACAATCCAAAGGAAAGGCTAGGCTCACCCAGGCCGGAAGGGAGTAAGGGTAGTATGGGCTCCTCTCCTGCCTTCCCTTTTCAGGCTCCTTCCTTCGCCTCAACCGCCTCTCGCTTACTTCGGCTGTTTAAAAATGGCGCCTCAGCCCCACTCGCCCCGCCCCCTTGGCTTGAGCCCTCTCGGGACCCGTAGAGGCGCCGCCTACCTTGCCATTCCCCGAGCTGTAGGCACGAACCCACCACCGGTCAAGCTTTCCGGCGGCCCCGGAGCATGATGGGAACGCGGAAGAAGCCGGGCAGGGGGCGCGAGGCGGCGCGCGAAGCCCAGAGTGGGCGGGGTTTGTGCCGTGGCACGCAGAGCTGAGCCAATAGCGGAGGAGGGTGGGCGTGGCTTTGTGTTCAGCTTCTTTTTCAGCTCTAACGGCAGACAGTTAAATGACAGTTGGGTTCTATACGTTTCTTACCTTTTGTATTCAAAGGCGGCTAGTTGGGTCTTGCTTTTGTACATTTATAATGGCAGCCTTGGAGTTAACATGGAGAGAGTAAGTGGGGTCTAATGACTGGATTCTGGGGTGCATTCTAAACTATAGAATTAATACAGTTTGATGTAAGACATATCTGTTTCAACAGGCCTTTGATCTTTGATATTGCTGTTTTTAAATTGTTTTTAAATTGTGTTAGATTTTAGCCTGTTCTTGTAAGCTGCTCCGAGCTCCAGGGGAGTGGCAGCATATAAGTTTGAATAATAATAAATAAATAATAAATAAAATAACCCAATCGCCTCTCAACAAAAGATTGCCCCAGGCACTGCCAGGTCATCAAATGCTAATCAAGGTGGTCAGTTGAAACACTCACACCTAGCTCCAGCAGACAAGAGTTCTTTGTCCCACCCTGGTCATTCCACAGATATTTAAACCCTTTTCCCTAGTTCCAACAGACCTCACTACCTCTGAGGATGCTTGCCATCGATGCACGCGAAACGTCAGGAGAGAATGCCTCTAGAACATGACCATATAGCCCAAAAAAACCTACAACAACCCAATATAGTTTTAACTGCCATGGCTCAGTGCTAAGGAATTCTGAGAGTTGTTTGTTGTTCATTGTTCAGTTGCTTCCAACTCTTCGTGACCTCATGGACCAGCCCACGCCAGTGCTTCCTATCGGCTGTGGCCACCCCCAGCTCCTTCAAGGTCAAGCCAGTCACTTCAAGGATGCCATCCATCCATCTTGCCCTTGGTTGGCCCCTCTTCCTTTTTCCTTCCATTTTCCCAAGCATCATTATCTTCTCCAAGCTTTCCTGTCTTCTCATGATGTGGCCAAAGTACTTCATCTTTGCCTCTCATATCCTTCCCTCCAATGAGCAGCCGGGCTTTATTTCCTGGAGTATGGACTGGTTGGATCTTCTTGCGGTCCAAGGCACTCTCAGAACTTTCCTCCAGCACCACAGTTCAAAAGCATCTATCTTCCTTCACTCAGCCTTCCTTATGGTCCAGCTCTCACATCTGTAGGTTACTATGGGGAATACCATTGCTTTAACTGTGCAGATCTCCATTGCCAATGTGGTGTCTCTACTCTTCACTATCTTATAGAGATACCTGGACCATCCTACCTGCGTGACCGCATCTCCATTTATGAACCCACGCACACTCTTCATAGAATCATAGAATCAAAGAGTTGGAAGAGACCTCATGGGCCATCCAGTCCAACCCCCTGCCAAGAAGCAGGAATATTGCATTCAAATCACCCCTAACAGATGGCCATCCAGCCTCTGTTTAAAAGCTTCGTTCATCCGGAGAGGCCCTGCTTGTGATTTCACCTGCGTCGCAGGCACATTTGGTGGGGACGCGAGACAAGACCTTTTCTGTGGTGCCCCCCCCCCCCCGACTCTGGAACACCCTCCCCAAAGATCTTAGACAGGCCCCTACGTTGGCAGTCTTCAGAAAGAACTTGAAGACCTGGCTGTTCCGATGTGCCTTTCTAGAATAGGAAAACTCCAATAACAAGTCCCAGAAGCACTTTATTAGAATTAAGATTGCTGTACACTGCACACTGCACTTACCCTATAATCCTTACATATCACCTGTCACATCAGCACTTTTAATCCTGTACCCATTACTCTGGCCCGGCCCAGTTCTATTGTGTCTTGGTGTACTGTTTATTGCTTGTGGTTTAATATTGCTTTAATTGTTTTTAATTTGCTTTAGGTTTTGTATTGTTATGTTGTGGTCGTTGTACAGATTCCTCAGGAGAGAGACAATGTGATTTGGTATCCCCATACCACCAAGAACTTGAAAGTTGCAGTTTTCACTCTTTGGAAGAGAAAGCTAAAGACCTTGGTGAAGGAGCCTGAAAAGGGAAGGCAGGACAAGACAGAGGTACTCCTGATCAGTTTGAAGGTAGATCAAGGTGTGGGCTTCAAGCCTGTGTTGGATGGAGTCATACTGCCCCTGAAGACACAGGTTCACAGTCTAGGAGTGGTCCTGGATTCACCACTGACCCTGGAACCCCAGGTGTCTGTGGTGGCCAGGAGCGCCTTTGCACAATTAAAACTTGTGCAACAGCTGTGCCCATTACCTCAAGACGTCAGATCTGGCCATGGTACTCCACCCTTAATCACATCCAGCTTGGACTACTGCAGCACTCTCTACGTGGGGCTGCCTTTGAAAATAGTTCGAAAGCTTCAACTGGTTCAGAGATCGCCGGCCAGATTGCTAACAGGAGCACCATACTGGGAGAGATCCACTCCCAAGTTGTGGCAGTTCCACTGGCTGCCTGTCCACTTCCGGGCTAAATACAAAGTGCTGGCCATTACCTTTAAAGCCCTAAGCCGCTTGGGTCCCGGCTATTTGACCGATAGCATCTCCTCTTACAAACGAGCCCAGGCATTGCGGTCATTGGAAGCCCTGCTCTCATTCCAACCCCCATCCCAAGCACGGCTGGGCCTTCTCTGTTGTCGCCCCCCACCTCTGGAACTTCCTCCCTAAAGAAATAACGCTGGCTCCCTCCCTCCTCTCCTTTAAAAAACAATTGAAGACCTACTTTTGCTCACTAGCATATGGAGAGGAGGAGGAATAGATGGTTGAGAGATCACTGCTGAGCCTGTGGTTGAGAACTTTTTGTGTTGGGCTTTCCTGGTCCACCCCAGCCCAATAACTTCATTCGACCACATAACCAACCAATTCAATTTTGTAAACCATTGCTGGCCGTTGTACACTAATGTGGATGTTTGGTTTAGATTTATGTTGTTATAGAATTTTGTCTGACTACGTATAGTATAACTTATTGATGTCAGGTTTAATTTACTGATGTTAGTTCTTAATTTGATGTTAGGCTTTAATGTTACTTTTATCTGTGGGGGTTTTCTGGGATTTTATGTTAGTATCATGTGTTTTATGTAGGCATTGAATTTTTGCCATTGTTATGCTGGAATCCACCCAGAGTCCCCTCGGGGAGATACGGCGGAATACAAATAAAGTTTTAATATTATGTTGTTATTATTATTGTAGAACTACAGCTCCTGGGATCTAATAGCCTTGACCCACGGTAGTTTAAGTGGTGTCAAACTGTGTTAATGCTACAGTGTAGATGTGATGTACCTTTAATAAAACACACATTGGAACACATTGATTTTTAGTTTGAACGAATACCCCTAGAGGGCAGTGTAACTCCAAATACAGGGAAAGTTAGGCTTTTCTGAACTTAAAGAGTGTGACCAAAATGGATGCCACCACAGTATGACAGTAAAAAGCGGCATTTGCAGAGTCCATTGAATATAAAGCATCTTTCAGATACATCTGTGAAGATCTAGAACATTGACACTGTCCAAATAGTAACCTTTATTTTAAGAAATCCAACAAATTTTGCAGGCCTGAAACAAATCTACCAGTGATATATAGTAAACCTGGAATATAGTATTTCTTTAGTAAACTTTGCTGTAAATATACATCCTTTATAAATGGGCTGGGCTGTCTTTATCCATGGTTTCCTTAGTTTTTTTTAATACAAGGATCCCAAATGTTCTATACCTTTTAATTTACAAAAGAGCACACTTGTTATTGTTGTGTCGTCATTTCTGAATCATAAGGTGACTATCATGGAGTGTCCTGGGGCTGAGAGTATGTGACTCACCTAAGGTGTCAAGGTGTCCGTACCAGCTTGGAACTAGCTGCTCCGTCCCCCATTCCCCTCGTGACTTGATGTGAAGAGGGGGAGGTTTAGAGGATGGATGGGGGCACATTACAGATAAGGCCATCTGGTCTTAGAAGAAAATGAAACAGTAAGATAGAGACTGTGGGAATGGAATGTAGCCAGTAGAAGGGGATGAAATGGGGGGAATGATAGACACGGGGTTGGTGGGAAACCTTTAGAACTGTCTTTCTTATGACTGTGGTAAGATGGAACGAAACTGTATCCAGAGATTGTCCCTTGTGAGCATGCGTTTGTTCCAAGAGCTTCCAGGTTCTATCATTAAGACAGTTCTCCTTTCTAAGCTTGTCCCATACTGTCTGTATCTGTATGGTGAGAGCACCATGTTTGTGGAGGGGTCTGAGGACCTGCTAGAAACCAAAGGCGCAATGGGCCTGGAAATGAGCCCCTGAGAGACTTTGGCTGTAGCACTTGAACTGGATCTATCTGGCATGGATAGTGAGGCTCGCGACAATCTTCTGATGATGGGGATGCCCCTGACCTCCACCCAAATGCCAGAGGGAAGAGGGGTGACAGTGTGACAAAAGCCCCCCCCCCCCCCCCGTGGCGGGAGGAGGAGAGCTGGGAGATATCTCTTTGGAGACAAAATGGTTGAACAGGAAGGTCAACTCCATGGAGAGAATGCTGCAAGTCTTCTCTTCCCAGCTCAATGAGATGAGGAAGGAGGTGACAGCATCGTGGATGGCCATTGCAGAACAAAGGAATCAAAGGTGAGGCTGATCCCAGGGAGAAGTGGATGGCTGAGTGATATTTGCAGACACCGTGGAGGAGGCAGAACGAGGTGAAGCCAACTGTAAGTTATGCCTGGCAGAGTGGAGCTACTGGTGAAGTTCAATGGAGACCCAACACAGCCCTTTTCAGAACAAACGTAAGACATTTTATGGAAGGTTATGGGGTATTTTTCCCTTCAGAAAGAGAAAGGGTTCATGCTGTAGGGGGCACCTTAAAAGGGCCAGCAGCGGTGAGAGCGCCAAATCCTAATCACTAGACCACCAGGGATCATGCTTTTGTTCCAAGAGCTTCCAGATTCTGATATTAGGTCACCCAAAGGGTTTCCATGACAGAGTGGGGAATTAAACCCTGGACTCTAGAGTCATCAACGGGATCTACACTGCCATATAATCCAGTTTTAGAATGCAGATTAAATGCATTGAGTTGGATTATATGTGCCCATATTGCCATATAATCCAGTTCAATAAGTTGATCTGCATTCTAGATGGTAGTGTAGGTCTAGTCCAACGTTCAAACCACTACACCAAGTACAAAGAGAGAAAAAATATTCAGAAGTAGCTATGTTAGTCATGCAGCAAAATCCAATATGTTTTAAGCACCAACTGCAAGCCATGAAATATTTTTGAAAGCATTTGAAGCTTCACTGGACTTTAACATCACCAGGCAAAGATGCTTAAAAATCATACAAAAGAAAATTGGTGACAATGTTGGAATCACAGGCCACAAACAATTGATGCTGAGGGATTTCAATGCAGGCAGAGACTCCATGGAATCAGAGATGGGAGTGAACCCAAGGGTCATCCAGTCCCACTCCATTCTACCATGCTGGACACTCAATCAAAGCACTCCCAACATATAGCCATCCAGTCTCTGCTGACAACTCCCATCATGCTCCAAGGCAGATCAGTGGAAGCATGTATCTCCTTAATTAAAACACGACAGGTATATATACGTGTCTCTTTATGGTCAATTATTCTTGCCTAAATACGAAAACCGTTTTGGTGGAACAGATCGCATTCCATCTAGTCTAGCATTCTGATCCCAAAGTGGTCAGCCAGCCAGAGAAGCCCATAAGCTGTAATGGGGGTGCCACTGAAAATAGGCTGCCTCAAACAAGGATGTTCCATTCTGCACTAATATGAATCCTAGGGCCCTTCCACACAGCCCTATATCCCAGAACATCAAGGCAGAAATTCCCACAATATCTGCTTTGAATTGGGTAATCTAAATCCACAGTGTCATATATTCCAGTTCAAAGAAGATAACGTGGGATTTTATTCAGCTGTGTTGAAGGGCCCTTAGCCATTGATAAACACTTAATTTGATTTGATTTTCATGGGGGCAGCATGGAGCCTATTTGCCACAAAGTCTCTTTTGATCCCTAAAGAAATGGGTTTGAGGAGAGAAGCCACTCACCCAAAGCTGTGTTGAGCCAAGCAAGTGCCCGGTTTCCTAGCTGCAGGGACGCAACATAATTTGTGGTCTGATAGCTGCCTATTGCAACGTGTGGCTGAGGCTGGAATAGCAGCTGTCAGAAGGAAGAAAGCATAGTATTTGTGGTTTACAGTAATGACTTGCCCAAAGTGTTTAACTACAAATTGATCTTATTATTGACTATCTCTGTATCTAATAAATTGTATTATACAGTAATGGCTCTATACTCAAGTAGTATTCCAATAGAAAGAGAGAGGTTTCTATCTTTGCGCATTGCCCTAAGTAGAAACCACTGGTTGGGGTTGCTGAGCTGCATCTTAAACTCAATGCCAAAATCACAAAAGCACATTTAAAAGGGTTAATAAGGATTAGAGGAAGATTATGACATGAAGGAAGCATAAATCTCAGCTGTGAGAGAAAGGATGGGTCACAGGCTAATAGTACACCTCGGAAAGTATAAATCTGTCCACAAATGCCATAGACATAATAGGGAATATAAAATATTATTTGACCTTCCTAGCCGGCCATCAGTTGATTTAAGAACTGAAAGCAATCATATTTAATAATGGGTTTCGGTCTGTTTAATGTGATGTTCTGTTGATTGCCGTGGCTGACCACTTTATTACAAAATAAAGACCGCAGTGAAGGAAAAGTTACAGCCATTTCCAGCTTATTTGATGGGTTTGAGACCAAGTGTTAAAAAGAGGAAATGGTTGCAAAGGCGAACCCAGTGCTTTTTGATAGCATGCAAATGAAAGCCCGAACTCTAGAGGGCGCTGAGTTGACTGAGAAGATTAAAAACAGCCAGCTGAGTAGATAGTGGCCAACCCATGTATGGTCAGTGTAGAACTGGCATGGGCAGACTTTGGCCCTCCAGGTATTTTGGACTTCAACTCCCACAATTCCTAACAGCCTAACAGCCTGAAGTCCAAAACACCTGAAGGACCGAAGTTTGCCCATGCCTGGTGTAGAAGATGCTTTGAACTGCATTATATGGGTCTCCACTGACTATATAATCCAATTCCAAACTGAACTACATGGCAGATAGATCCAGCCTTAGAAAACAATCTGAGTGCTTAGTAGAAAGAGGGAAAACAAACTATGGTTGAAAGAGTGGACTAGAGGTCAAAAGTGTGGTATAGGGCTATACTTTAGATCAGTAGAAACAGTGGAATATCAAAAGACGTGATCATACAGCAAAGGATGCATGTAGTTATGTTTCAAATATAGTAAGAGAGAAGCTTGAAGTCAGTGTCCATGCTGTGCATATACAGTATGTTACATTACTAAATGTCTTGGTTATACGAACAGTTTGGATACATTGATATACAGGGTGTATGTATATAAATATATATTGAAAAGGCAAAATGATAGGGTTAAGTTTTATTTTATCCATTCAGCACACTGAATGCAAAGGTATTGTATGCTAATTCTTTTACCTGGATGGATATTTTTCACAATATCTAATTTCCCCTCCTTTCTCTATTACAGTGGTTCCCAACCTTTTTTTGACCAGGGACCACTTTGACCAGGGACCACTCTCCAACATTAGTACCCAAAAGGGTTACAAATCAGTTATTGATTAACTTTAGATTCAGTTTGGTTTATTTGGGGTGCTGATTCAGAAAATTGCATTGGCTAGACCACATCAGCTCTAGTATCTGATACAGAACATAGGCCATCCAGGAGTCACCATCTCTTTGCTCACAGAAAACCATGTTTAATAAGCCTCGGTACTATAAGAAGGTTTCGCAAGACCAGTCCCTCTTGCTGTAATGGTGTAGTAACGGTAAAGCTGTGGACCATATCTTAGTTCTTGCAGACCACTGGTGGTCCACAGACCACAGGTTGGGAACCATTGCTCTAATATGAAAATATAAAACAAGGGGAAAATACTCTCTGCTCATCCATTATTGTGAATCAGTCTGTTCAGGAGGGACTTTTAAAAACTCAACATAATACCAATTTGTAAAATTTATTTTAAAAAAATCTGTGGCTGCTTGGGACAGTCATGACTGTATGAAATGTACAGAGTACAGTAAAATATGCTCATACATTTATATTTTCAAAAACACAAAATGAAAGTGGTTTGATTACAATTTATGTTACATACAGAGAGACAAGTTTTCCATTCAGTGCAAATGGACTGTTCAGTAGACTTTTAAACAGATTTTCCCACAGTGCCTGAGAGCCATTGCTTTCTAAAAAAAAAAAAAAAAAGGGGGGGGGGGAGGAAGAGGGAAGGAAGGACAGCCAGAGTACAACTTAATTCACCAAATATATGCAATAAATTAACATTTTGCAAGACAGTTGAATCAGTCATCATGCTAACAGTATGTACAGTGTCTTCAAAAGTCATATGCTACAATTAAATCAAGATCTGGATTTGTACAGTGATTTGAATATCATAAAATCTGGATTTGTACAGTAATTGGTATGTCATGAAAGGTTTCAAGAGGATTTCAGAAATTCTGCCACATTATTCCTGAAATAAATAATCTTGTTTTAATGCAGAATTAAGATATATGTAAACATGCTATCTGCTTGCTTCTACTTTGCACATCCCCATCTACAGTCAAATTTCATTTAAAATGCAGTAGACATAATGGTTCAATATGCTTTCTGTGAAGATTCTTTTTTTAAGAAGGAATTAAACACCAGTCATAAAATGAAGTGACTTGTACGTAAAATTTAAATTGTGGCTGTCTGATGTGTCAAACTTGTGTATAAACATGTTTAGTACTGAAGTGCAATAACAACTGTAATTGAGACTCTGATAAAGAACAAGCACCACTCAGTTCCATGACTAAGACACCATATAAGGCCAAAACCAACAATGAAGTAATGAAACTAAGAAGCCAATCAACCAGCTATTGTTCATCGAGCAATTCTGTTGGGGAATAATTGTGTAGCAATGTCAAGTCTTGAGCTATTCCTCCTCAAACCTTATGAGTGAAAGCAACTTCACACGTACTTCTGTACACATACAAATACAAAGAGTATATGGCTGCAAATACATGCAATATTTGTGAAAACAAGAATTCTAAATATAACAGGACATCACAAAGTGAACGCAAAAGCCATCTAAAAGTGGGGGGAAAGTGCTAATATTTTAAAGGAGCGCAGTCTGAATTCGGGGAGAGAATGGAGATCTTTTACTTTGGTTCCTCAGAATTGGCTGCAGTACATGGAGAAACTTGCTTTTGCTTTTAAGCAACTATGAATTGTATAACTGGTGATACTAAATCAGAGCATATTTTTTATTTCTTGTCATGCTAATGGTGGTTAAGGGTGCTATTGTACTCAAAGTAACTTCTCCATGCTTTGGTTAAAATGAACTAGACCCTGTAGTAGTCAGTAATATGGCATTATTTGATAGTGTTACAATCTTTTCTACTTGACTAATTATGAGATGTTTCTTTTTCGTTTTTTGAAAACTAAATTCACAAACCAGCATAAGCCACAGTGGCGAAAAAACCACATGCTAGCCACATCATTAGAATTTCCTTAAAAACTACCGTACTGAGGATTTGGTATAAATCAAAGTGCTTCATTTTCAGGCTGTTCTTTTCTACTTAAGTCAATTGAAATAAAACTGGTTTATAAACCAGTTTTATTTCAATTGACTTAAGTAGAAAAGAACAGGGCCTAAGGTTTCCTGCTCTTTCTCTTCAGGCTAACATGGTTCTTAATTCTGAAGGCCTGTATTGACTCCAACGGCACAAAGCTTCTACTCATGACCTGCACTTGAGTGTGAATATTCCAAGAGTTAGGGAATGATAGCTGGTTGACACCACTTTAACCGTTCTGGCTCTGTCCTATGCAATCCTGGGATCTGTAGATTGCTATCTGATAGAGAAAAGTAAATACTTCACAAAATTACAAATCCCAGAACCCCATTGCATTAAACCATGGCAGTTAATGTATTGTGAAACTGCTTTAATTCTGAAGGCCTGTATTAGCTTCAACTGCCCAAAGCTCCTACTCATGACTGCACTTGAGTGTGAATATTCTAAGAAATTTCATTTCACATTTTCTGTTACAAAGCTGAAAACCTAGCAATGGCTGTATTTCTCCCACTATGAAACCATTGCTCTATGAATCTTTCCTTGTTGCTGCCAAGATTCCTTGCCCTACCTTGGGAAAGTATTGGCTTCCAATTGTCACCCTCAAAGTTCACTCATAACTATTGCAATAAATGGATGCTTGACATGCAGCTATTAATTGTTCTGCAGCCAATGCCAAGGTTTCTGTGAACAGTGCTGACACATCCTGAACTAACATTTTTGGAACAAGCCTAAGCAATCCCATTAAGTGCTGTGATATTGAGCATACACATGTTAGTAAAACCCTTATTGTTTGTTCACTGTTGTGCGTCTTTCAGTGGTTTCTGACTTATGGCCACCCTAAGGGAAACCTTTCACTGGATCTTCATGCCACAATTTGTTCAGAAATGATTTGCCTTTGCCTTTCTCTGAAGCTGAGAGGTTATTCATTGAATTCCCATGGCCTATTCGTGGGAATTCAAATTCTGTGTAGTTCAATGCTCAAACCATGCTGGATCCCAACATCTTTTGTCATGCATACTGCTTATTTATTATGACATGATCTGTGTTGTTTGTGGACTAGAATGCTTTTAGCATGCTGTCTCTGTTCAACATTGCTGACTTCTGCTGCTTGATTATCTAATAGTGCTAATCATTCACTTGCATAAAATGGCAGCACATCCCAGCTGATACAGAAATATTGGCAGTACACCAAATTACACTGGAGAGATATGGACAGTTAATTTCTCCCGAGTCCAAGACTGAAAACAAAAACAAAAAAATAATACATTTCTTGGGAAATGATTTCTGCTCTCTCATTTGGCAGATGCTGACATGGTTGGCAGATTTTAGTCAGCTATTTGATACAGAACCAAGATAGGATTGAAAAGCAAAATTGAAGATATGTGTTAATCTAAAGCAAAAGTAGAAATCTTACAGCCTTCATGATGTTGTTTGACTGCAGTTCCTCACACTCACTCCTCACCATTGGCTGTACTGTCCAGGGCTGCTGGGATATGTAATCTAAAAACCTCTGGAGTGCCACATGACTCCTCCCCAGTTATAAAATAACTAATTTGATATTCTGTAGGCATATTAATGCTACAGCTGGCAGAAATCTCAGACAGGTGGTATGCATTTATACTCCCACAAGAGAGGGAATGGGAGCATATACTTTCTGGGAATCCCTCCAGCACATCTGGAGTACACTAGGCTGAAGCAGGCTAATCTAAAGTTTGAGGAAAACATACAGTTCTGACATAACATTTTTCATCTCCAGTGATAGCATTTGCAATTATTTCTATGTCCATGTGTCTAGGAAAATCCCCACTGGAGAGCATGTGTTGTGCAACTTCAAGCACTGTCACACAATCTATTGATTTTTCAAATTCCTGTGCAAGATCACAGCCTAAGCCAATGATTCTCAACCTGTGGGTCAGGTGTTTTGGCCTATAGGTAAAGGTAAAGGTTTTTCCATGACATTAAGTTCAGTCGTGTCCGACCCTGGGGGTTGGTGCTCATCTCCATTTCTAAGCCAAAGAGCCGGCATTGTCCATAGACACTTCCAAGGTCAGGTGGTCAGCATGACTGCAAGGAGCACTGTTACCTTCTCGCCAGAGCGGTACCTATTCTACTGTCCTATTCTACTCCTACTGATCTACTCCCAATTGCATGTTTTCGAACTGCTAGGTTGGCAGAAGCTGGGCCTAACAGTTATGGCCTATAACCCCCAGAACTCCCAGCCAGTTTATCAGCTTTTAGGATTTCTGGGAGTTGGAAGGCCAAAACATCTGGGGATCCACAGGTTGGGAACCACTGCTAAGCCCCACTAAAATAAATGGTGGTATAATAAGAGCATGCAAAGGACTGAATCACAGCATTAGTCAGAAATAGACAACAATATAAATGTGTGTGTGTGGGGGGGGGGGGGGTATCCCTTCCAAAACCACAAAAAGTAGATTCCACATTTTCTGCAACTTTCCTTCTGCCTCCCCCAAAATACTTTGTTTTAAGAAAGCCAACCTGAATTCATGTGAAATAGAAGAGATTTAAAAAGCAACTACCTTTAATACTTGCATGATACATTAAGAAAATATATTAGTACTGTATGTGATAGAATTTCTTCCCTTTAAAAAAGTTAGGTTAGAATCCAAATTACATATTTTATGACAGGATCTTCAGTGACAGAAAAGTAGTTTGTAAAAGAGCAAAGTGGCTTATGCAAACAGAGGGAAAGACTTCTGAATCTGGAGCATAGTTGCTGGCTGAGTGTCTGGAACATCCCTATCGTGAGTGTTAAGAGCATTCGCGTAAATAAAAATGGGGAAACACTGCTTAATCAAAGGAAAAGCAAGATGTCCCAAGACTGCGTCACAAGGCCTTGGAACCAAAACAAGGGAAATCCTCTGAAAGGAAAGGATGTCTGAGTTCAGAACTGAGCACAAGCTGGAGACAGGAGTTTCTTAAACACAACAGTTCTCAAACAACTATTCACATTCCCTTGCAGTGATGCATTAATGCTCAAGCAGTGGCACTCTGAAAACAATTCATCGCTTTGAGAACAATTTATTGTTGAAATAATGTATTTAAATTATTAAGAGGACTTATAGGAGCTAAACACCCAATATAATGTGCAAAAATTGCCAAAGGAAACAAGAAATAAACTTGATAACTTTAGAAGACTTAAATGTAGAATCAGAAACACACCCAAAATCTTAAAAAGTTATTGGCTTCTGGTGCAAAATATTCAATCAATTAAGACAATTAAGGGAATGATAGATTGGTGCAACCTATCTGGAAAAGTTCGGCCAAGTTAAATGAACAGCTAACTTTAGAAGGTTGTAAAACATATGCCAGTTGGCTCCACTTTCTTCACTGGATTACTGAAATAGCTGAGAATGCTTAATATAGTCTAGTTTTATTTATTTTTCAACAAACAAGACTAACTCTGCTCTTTCAAAATTGCACATACTGTTTCAATCCATTTTAAAGTGCAACACTTTACCACTATTTACATCACCAACAATGTTCCTATTATATATAAATGGCAACTCCTGAAATTAGGTCAGGCCTCAAGGGGCTTTCCAATTCCAAGCTTTCCTCAGGAGGATTGCACAGCCTTGTGCTAAGCTTGCATCAGAACATCAGCCTTACAAGACTCTGATACTTTCCTACTAGTCAAAATGATTCTAGCCATGGCTTTATCCTACAGCCACCCTGCTTCAAGTACAGACTTCTAGAAGTGGTTGTTGTATACTGTCATTATCTATTGTATAACCCTGCCATGTTGTGCCAAAGTCACTCTTAAGACCTCACCACACTAGAGAATGAATCCACTTTAAATCCGGTTTCTCCCTCCTGCAGAATTCTGGGGTTTGTAGTTTAGGGAGGAGCCTTTAACAGTCTCACTAAACTACAAAACCCAGAATTCTGCTGGAAGCAGAAACTGGGTTTAAAGTGTATTAATTCTCTAGTGTGATGAAGTGGTTATTGTTTTTCTTACCTGGAAAAAAACATAAGGAAGAACCAGAGCCTGGAAAAAATTACCTTTTTTGGTTATTGTGAGAATTGTCATCAAAATAAGGTATTTCTCTTCCACCCAAATCCTGGGAATAGATTTACCATGTCTTTTGACTGGTGTTACCAGACACCTTCCACCTGAAGTATCCTCAGACAACTAACCAAATTTTACTCTATTCCTTGCAAAGTATATAGGTTTTTCCTATAGTGAGTCAGTAATAGTATACTCAAGTGGTTCTCAACTTGTGGGTCCCCAGGTGTTTTGGCCTACAACTTCCAGAAATCCCCGCCAGTTTACCAGCTGTTAAGATTTCTGGGAGTTGAAGGCCAAAACATCTGGGGACCCACAGGTTGAGAAACACTCATAGTCTTCTGCATGTTGCATTCATAGACAACAAGGAGGAGCCTGAACTGAAAGTGCCCTACAAGTGCAACTCACCAGAATTTCTCCAATATACATCCCACTGTAATAAACAGCAAATGTGCAACAATACATTGATTCATTAATTTAAGCCAGTTAATATATAAGGAAAGGTGCTATGATATATTTATGCAACGAGCATTGAAAAATAAATAAGTAGATTCCTTTCACCTTTTATAAACAAACCCTTAAACACCTACTGTGTTTCCCAGTTTTTAAATTCCTTACTTAATTTATTCAACTACTTCATACAAGGATTTTCTTTCCTTACATGAAGTTTTATTTCTGTGTAAACTTCACAGTGATCGCGGTGTTACTGTGTGCTGAAACACACTAATTTTAGAATACTGTCCTGCTACAGCTAGACCTTGGCAAGAGAGCAGCACTAGACAGTCTCACAGAGGTGGACAGATGGGAAAGATCAAGAGAAGATGAAGTGAATATACCGAATAAAAGGAATTCAAGCAAAGGACAAAAATGTTGAACTCTCAAAGTTGAGAGTTCAGAATGAACATGAAAAAATAAGAACAGAAGACAAAAAAATGTATTCTGTTCATTTCAGTTTGTTCTTCCTAGTGTGCTATTGGCTCATAGTGCTTTTAGGTCAGGCATTGACAAACTTGGGCCCTCCAGGTGTTTTGGACTTCAACTCCCACCATTCCTAACAGCCTACCAGCTGTTAGGAATGGTGGGAGCTGAAGTCCAAAACACCTGGAGGGCCCAAGTTTGCCAGTGCCTGTTTTAGAACATTATCCTTCCAATTAATATATCTATAGTTTCTCAAGGAACATGAAGAGCTTTTCCTATGTGTTTTTGCCTCTGGGGAAAAAAGGGGGAATTCCTATGTGTGTATCTTTAGGGAAAACTATATGCTAGGCAGATACGAATTTATTCAACAGGACTGCCAGTTATATGTGTGTGTGTGTGTTTATTAAAGTAATAATGTAACAAATCTGATTTTGACAAAATCAGATTTGAATCCATTCACTAATTCGGAAGGGGGGAAAATCTAGAAAGGGTTAAGTATACTATTGGCTCTTGGGCCAATTCTTGGGCCGATTCCAGTAGAGTTATTCACAGTTTCTAACTTAAGAATGTTGGTCATTAGAAAACACAGGAAATGCAGTTTGCATTGCCTAAAATGGGCACATCGCAGCTTATTGTTTGCATATAGTTCATAAGGAAAGACTAGTTATTTTTTAAAGGTCGGATGATATAATCCTTTATTGAAACTTAGTATCTCAGCTAGGATCACTGTTAGTCATTGATTTCTGTGATACCTCTCCTAAACCCAAGTCTAGTTAGTATTATGTATTCAATACTTGACCAATTGGAGATCCATAGTGTAGGAAAGTTCACTGGATTAAGGCAAAAAAGATTGACAGCTTGAGTTCATGACAGTTTCACTTCATTCCATATAATAGGAATCGACAGGAATAATCATATCTATACCAAAAAATAATCTTAATTTAGTTCTGTGAAGTGAAAATGCAAAATTGAAGATTTGGTAGTGTGTTCAGAAGTATTTCTTCGTCTTTCAAAACGAATGTTCTGGAGTTGCAGATTCATCTTGGTATGATCATCTTTTCAATGGCACAGACAATATGATCCCAGTTCTTGCATAAAATCGCAAGAAGAGTTACAGCAAAAAAAGTGCCCATGATGTGAAAACGGCTCCTCATCATAGGAGAGATAAATTTTGCTATGGTGGAGACGCACACCAGGATGACAGTCATGAAAGCCAAGACTACATTGATGCATTTCCCCAGCAGGACTTTGGCATTCACAGTCTCTGACTGCAGGGCCTGCTGTTCCTGCTGATGGAGCTCCAGCTTAGAAACCCGCGTCTGGCAAGATTCAAGTGCTTCCTATGGACAGAAAACATGAAAAAGGGAGAGACAAAGGATGAAAACAGATCTTCCATTTCATTCATCCCTGTTCTAATTTATGAGGGTCACTCTCATAAAAGGCATAAATCAACTTCAAAAACCAATTTACAGTTGGTTAACAATGATAGCCAGTGTTGCAAATACAGTAGATGTACATCATGCCCCAATTCCTTTAAAATATGAAAAATGTACTCTTTCTGACAGACAGATGATTAAAAGCTAAGTGAACAATGATTTATACAGCACTTGGGTGTGCTTTGAAATCTTTATCTTGTTCATTCCCACAAAAACCCCGTAATATAATATTTCCTACAGAGCTGTATAGCCATGTTCCAGAGGCATTCTCTCCTGACGTTTCCCCCACATCTATGACAGACATCCTCAGAGGTTGTGAGGTCTGTTGGAAACTAGACAAGTGAGGTTTATATATCTGTGGAATACTGTCCAGGGTTGGAGAAAAAATATCTTGTCTGCTTAAGGCAAGTGCAAATGTTGCAATTGGCCACCTTGATTAGCATTGAATAGCCCTGCAGCTTCAAAGCCTGGCTCGTTGCTGCCTGGGGGATCCTCTGTTGGGAGGTGTTAGCAAAATAACTTGGAAGTTATTGTGATGTTGCAGGGGCAGTGCATTTGCAACTCTATAGGCCCATCATAGGTAATTTGTGGAGGTGAGATGTACAAAACAGGCATGTGGACACAATGTCTTTGAAATAATAAAGAACTTTCAGAGATTTTAACATATGTATTACAACATAGGTTTTTTTTGTAGACTAGGGTCCACTTCCTCAATTATATGAAGAGTTATCTTAATTGTGAGGTCAGAGGGAAATAAAGTACAGGTACAAAGATTAATTCAATGATACCCAATAAAAAGCAGTAACTGCTTAAATCAAATTGCTGATCCTTACTTATAACAGAGTAATTGCACCAATTGTTCAGTGTTAGGTTTACACTGGGAAGAATGATCAATTGAGTTTAATTATTAGGTGATAACACTTATATTCTTGCACAGAACAGCTGATATTACACGTAAAACTAAGTTGTTGTTTTTTAAGTGCTCCAGTTATAGGGGCTATGAAAAAAATATATATTGTAAGATATAGGGCCACTAAAATAAATATATTTCTCCCTTGTGGACCATTGCCTATGGCCCAAATCTTGTTGTCAATTCCAATAAGAATATATCTATTGAACCAATGGAATTCACATGTAAATCACTTTTTATTTACTGACATATAATTCAATATATGGACTCTAGCTGGGACTAGCAATTGAACTAAGGGCAATGCCTGTCATTTAGGACAACACATCCATCAGATGATATGGATTCATGGAAATTATAACTTCTCAACCCTAAATCCTCCTCAACATAGTGTAAATATTTGTATGTGGGACCAATACATCTTATTAATGTATTAATAAGATGCTAAAAGTTCCCCACATGGCTATTCCATACTGAGCATTCATGCTCAAGAAGCTTCTGGCTACTTCCCATTAGCCAGTGCAATCTTGTCATAGCTGTACTGAGATCCCTAAAGGACCCAGTGGATTTCAGCACTAATATCAAATCCACTATGAAGCATAGAAAGGCCTTGTGGGGCAGCTTCAGAGGCTTTTCAATAGGTCAATGGGGGCTTTAAGTTCTGTGGAAGAATGAAGGGAACATCAGGAAAAAAAATGAAGATCCACATACATAAGGGAAACTGGAGCCCCTGGTGACGCAATGGGTTAAACCCTTGTGCCAGCAGGACTGAAGACTGACAGGTCAGAGGTCTGAATCCAGGGAGAGCATGGATGAGCCCCCTCTGTCAGCCCCAGTTCCCCATGCAGGGGCACGAGAGAAGTGTCCCACAGGGATGGTAAAACATCAAAACATCCAGGTGTCCCCTGGGCAATATCCTTGCAGGTAGCCAATTCTTTCACACCAGAAGCGACTTGCAGTCGCTCCTGATACGAAAAAGAAGGAAACTTATGTCTCTAACAAAATTCTGGCGAAAATGTGTTACTCTTTAATGTGTCACAAGATTCCTGTAAAAGATGAATATGCCAGTTATTTCTAAAGAGAAAAAGTTCTGTTTAAAATATACTGAAGAAATTACAAGAGGAAGCATGAGGCCCATGCATCTTGAAAGACACAAAGTCTTTCTTAAATTATAATTCAATTAATTGAGCCACTTGATATGTATCCTCAGGAAATAATATATGTTGAAAACACAAACAATCAACTATTTGATTGTTAAAGTTAATACCTGAACATCTCGTGAGCGTTCATAGGCTTGATACGCAACTTTTTCTTCGATACTCGCTAATTCTTGTTTCAAGTTGGCTGTCTCGTGCTGATGAAGGTCTGTTAAATCATTCAGCTGGTCTTCTAATCGCTCATACCTTTGATAACAACAGAAAGGTATCTTAATCTTTCTTAGGAAATCTCATTAAAAGTGTAGACATTTTCATTCATAGCTTGTCATCACCTTTCTTTATTATAATGATTAGACTTTCCCTAGATTGAAATTCTGAACTGGAAACTTGCATGCACGCTGTATGTTGTAGAATTTGTGGAAGTAATTCTGTTTTACATTAATATTTTTCTAGTTCTATTCTTGTGTACAGCTGTGCAAACATATTGAGATACTGATAACACTCGCCCCTCTTATATATTAAGCTAATAACATGTGTGTTGTCTCATGGTAAAAAAAACCATGACCAATCTCCCTTGCACAAAAGTTTGAACAGTAAAAATAGGGAATGGAAAAGCAGTTTACAATGGTACTTGTACATGTCACAATTTGATGGAGACACTGAAAAAAGAAAAGGGAGGAGGGGTAGAGAACTCCTTATAATTTGGCTATTAGACATCTCTCTGTCCAGAGTCAATGCAACAGACATTACCATACAAACAATGAGCTCCTATGTCTGAAAGCCAAAATCATACTATTTGTTCCTCTGTTGTCAAATTACTCCAGACAAGCAAGAGATGGGAGATGAGTCACAGCACCATTCTGTTTGATTGTTTGATATTGCTTTACGAAAAGCAGGGTACATCAGCGATGTTCTTTTGTATCCAACATCAATACAATCGGATGTTTTTTCACCTTTCCTGCCCCCTGCAATATTCCATGATGGTACAATCTTGCTCCAGAAAATATCTCAGTCCTGTGGAGTGGGCCTTTATGCAACAGGGAATGGACTACTGGCAAAAATCAAACATGAATGCTAGAGGAAAGGATACTGTTCTTTGGAATCTGCTTTATGATAACACTGGAAACTTTTTTTGGTTTATGTGAGTGCAACTTATAGAAAAATGTATACCCGCTAAGTGTAGATATTTCACACACACAGCCTTTATTGGCCTATAACAACAAAATCACAACACAGATATTACAACAAGAGACAGATAAAAAGAAACATACTTAAACGTTACTAATCTCAAGGATAAAATTTGCAACAGTCTCACAAAACAATGCATCAAGGTTGTTCAGGAGATATGGAATTTTATAGCACCCTTGTCATTGAGAACACTGTGAAAAAAATGGAATTCCTGTATTTCACCTGTATATTATTATATTCGGGGCAAACAAATAGAGCATGATGAAGTGTTTCAATGGAGACCAAGTCACAAGAACAAAACCCTTTTGGAACATCCAAGCAGTCTCCTCTTCTTTCCTTCCCTCAGAGGTTCTTACTTCCCCATAATCAAAGTGACTAAGAACAAATTCAAACCTCATTGAAAAGGTATTGGAAGTAGCTTCTGTTTGAAACAGCAAATGTATACAATGTCCCTGGACCAAGATAAGTCATTTTAAGCCAGTGGTTCTCAACCTGTGGGTCTCCAGATGTTCTGGCCTTCAACTCCCAGAAATCCTAACAATGGTAAACTGGCTGGGATTTCTGGGAGTTGTAGGTCAAAACACATGGAGACCCACAGGTTGAGAACCATTGATGTAGGAGAAGCAAAGGGTTGTTTCTATAGTGTTGTCCTTATAGCATCATCTGAGGTATGGGGTCCATGTGAAGTTCCTTTTACTCTCTCCACAGGTTGAGAACCACTGCTTTAAGTCAAGCAGGAAAGGAGTTTTCAGCTATGTATGAAAGGGAAGGGTCCAACAAAGAGGTTTTTTCCCATTTCCTCATACACATACTTCTCTCTGATTTCCCATGGTCTGGAAAGACAGTGCTCAGGAATCCTCTTAGTAGATGCACCCACCATGTTCCTGGCAGCTAGGAAAGTGAGATGGAGGCAGATGGAGAGTGCTATGAATCCCACCCATGGGAAAAAGCGGGATAAACATAAATTAATAACAATAATAGTAATAATTGGGGCAATGGGCAGAAGGAAAATGGAGTTTCTGGAGCAGCCTGGACTCTGGCTTGACTTTCCTCATATTGTCTGGGGGCACTTTCAGGCACAAGGGCCAAGTGATATGTTCCAGCTCCTGCCCCTTATCCTACCCTGCTCCAAGTCACTATCAGCTTAGAGCAAAATGCTATGAGCATAAACATCACTTTGGTCATGTTCTCAGGTTCCTCGTAATTCTTTCTTGAACACCCTTCCCTTTATGATGCCACACAGGTTTTACTGTCTCAGCCCAGGAAAAACCAAAGGTGAAAAATGCTGTATGTTTGTATGTTCATTGCTGTCAAGCATGGGGATCAAACATATCAGTAACATGTTTTCCTTATTAAATTGTTTAAATTGTTTATATTCTAACCAATCTGTGCAAAAAGTAATCAAAAATGGCATACCTGTATCGTTCCTCTTGTAACGTTTGAGAAATGAAGCCATAGTCTCTTTTGAACTGTACTTTTAAACTTTCAATGTCTTCTGCTAATTGGGATTGTGTTTCCTTTATCTCCCGCAGTTCTTCTAAGAGCATAGAAAGCTTTCCATGGCTGTCCAGAGTATTTGTTGCACTGTGGCCAAAGGATTGGTTTCCATTACTGTCTGCAGAGGCAGATGTTCCACTTGAGCACTCATCATCGCTGGTGTACTTTGGCTTGTTCACTATGGTGGCACTGCCACCATAAGCCCTTGAAGTAGTTTCAGGCCTGAAGTCATCTAGGCTGCTTTTCAGGTGAGCAATGTTGTCAGCACTACCAAATTTATTCCGGATCAGGTTTGCAAACTCCCTGGATTTGCTGAAGACAAACACTGGTGGTGTCAAGGAGACACCTGGAACACCCGTTTTGCTGCTCTCGTTGCCATGGCCGGCAGTACGAGGCTTTCCGTGGGCATCTTTTAAAGTGTGTTGAATGTCCTTCAGACTGTCCTTGGAAGTATCCTTGGTAGTTTTAGAAGAACCATTTTGTTCTATTTCCTTTAGCTTTCTGTGATACTGTTCTAGTTTCTTCTGCAACTGGGCTATAGAATGGGCAGACTTTTGGTTCTTCTTTTCAAAGACTTGCTTGATTCGCCCTGCTTGCTGTTTATCTGCACTGTTCACTAACTTCAAGTATTCAGCCACATTCCCATCTCGGGCCGATTGCTCTATTTTGATCTGTTCTGTCACTTTCAGGATCTTTTGCTTCAAACTGTCTGCACTCAGTTTTACTTTGTGAAATTCAAACACGCCATCAGGAACGTCAAAGTTGAGATTAGTGTCCGAACCTCCCCGACGAATAGTAAGAGGCAAGCTGAGAGTGTTCATGTCATGTCTTTCCACCTACAAAAAATAAAAATAAAAATGAAAGATTGAAAATGAATGAGCTATAATTTTCTTTGCAAAATCTCCCATGCAGAAATAGAAAGCCTTCATAGTTTTCTATGACTTCTAAGCAGAAATAATTTTGTGACTGAATAACATGACAAATATTGAGTATATGTATTTGTTGCAGAAATCAGATCAGGAACATAGTGTTCTGCCTATCCACCTGTGTGAAATGCTGTTATAAATGCATAGGTAACAAAAACAAAATGCTGCATGACTTTACTTCAGAACAGTAAATAATGAGGCATTCAAGTAGCTTAGCAATATCCCTCACACAGCGGCTATTCACTTACACAAAGTACTCAGCATAAAAATGTCATCCACATAAAAAGCCCAGTCTTTATTTAGTTACATTTGCTACACACATTGATTATATCATCATTTTTCCAAATAAACTATTTGTAACCATTTTACTGACCAACTGGCATTAGTTTTCAAGTCAACATAAAATTCTGCTTGTCAATTCAGCAGTGCATGCAATGTTTATTTAATTGACATCTCTTTCCATAATTCAACTGGCACTTTTAACAAATTTCATCTGTTACTATCAACCTCACCCACATCAGAAATACTAGCCAACTGTTACTTAACACACACCCACAGCTGAAGTAATTTTCTATGATATCTAAGAATAAATAAATGTATCACAACAAAGCATGACAAAGATTTCTCAAAGCTCCATTAAACTGGGTATATTTGACAAGAATACGGTACATGTAATTCCGTAATCCAACTGGTGACTTGTACACTCTTGGTTACGCTTGATCTATAATGCTATCTGGTTGCCAAGTGGAAACGTTGTTAAGAAAATAAGAGATCCAATAGTCCAATCTGCCCATGAAAAGAGAGTACTATGAAATGCTGAAAGTATTTTAAAAATATCCTAGTTATAAGGGCAACCAGATGAAATGCCTTTAAAATGCAGAATGGTCTTCAAGCAAAAGAGAAGGTTCACAGCTTTTAAAACACAGTGTTCAATTTTCAATGTGTTTGATATTTTGCACACTGGACTCTGTAAGTAGGATAACATAAAGCAAAAGTGGAGATAAACAATATTAAACTGATGTTTAATCACAATACCAAGGAATCAATTATCAAAGAGTTAATCTAAGCAAAATGCAATTCCCTTAGATTCATTACATTTGCTTGTGTATTATACAATATGCAATACACTTGTTTGTGCGTATACCAGTTTGTGCTATGTAAACATTATTGTATCAGGATCAAAAGTTGGAAGCAAAGCATAGCTACCTGTTTTTTTGGTTGTAAGCTGCTGTGGCAATAGCACATTTCAAAAGTAAAACAACTGTTTCCTTGATATAACTAGTACCATCTTCTAGTTACTTTTAAAATTACATTTAAAGAAACCGAATAGAATTTTCAAGTTTTGTGCCATTTTCTTCTTAGTACTAAAAAGTCAAAAAAGTGGTGAAAAACTAACAAACATAAAAATAAGTTTTCAAAAGTATTATTTTGGGATGATTTACACCAGTGGTTCTCAACTTTTCTAATACCGCGACCCCTTAACACAGTTCCTCATGTTGTGGTGACCCCAAACCATAACACTGTTTTCATTGCCAATTCATAACTAATTTTGCTACTGTTATTAATCATAATAAAAGTATCTGATATATAGGGTGCATTTTCATTCACTGGACCAAATTTGGCACAAATACCCGATAGGCCCAAAATTGAATACTGGTGAGGTTGGGGGGAGGGGCTGATTTTGTCATTTGGGAGTTGTAGTTGCTGATTTATAGTTAAACTACAATCAAAGAGAATCCTGAACTCCACCAATGATGGAATTAAACCAAACTTGGAACACAGAACTCCCATGACCAACAGAAAATACTGGAAGGGATTGGTGGAAATTGACCTTGAGTTTTGATGTTGTAGTTCACCTACATCCAAAGAGCACTGTGGACTCAAACAATGATAGATCTGGACCAAATTTGGCATGAATACTTAATATGCCCAAATTTGAACATTGGGGAAAACAGGCCTTGACATTTGGGAGTGGTAGTTGCTGGGATTTATAGACCTTGACATTTGGGAGTGGTAGTTGCACCTACAGTCAAACAGCATTCTGAACTCCACCGACTATAGAATTGGGCCAGACTTCCCACACAGAATCCCCATGACCAACAGAAAATACTGTGTTTTCTGGGTCTTTGGCAACCCTTTTGACACCCCCTCATAACCCCCCAGAAGTCCCGACCCCCAGGTTGAGAATTGCTAATTTACACAATGAATTACGCTATGACCACCATATCTGCAGGAAATATCTCTTGGATATCGGAAACCATGGAGAATAACAAACCCTATATTTTGACTATATTTGCATCAGAAGTATCATAGAATCACACTGGAGGACCTGGAGAGGCCCACAAACACTTCTGGGTTGGGAATATTCTTTGGACTATGAGTGAGCGAAACTGTGAATAATGAATCTATGAATAGGAGGGGTTATACTGTACATTTTTTAAAAGCACATGCTCAGATGAGCATGTATTTCAAACATCTTCAAATATGAAAGATGACTGGGTATGAATCTTTCATGATGAGCATGATTTGTGCCATGTGCATGGTAATTGTTACAAAGATTGTAAATATATGGCTGGCATTCTTCTAGTGACATGTGCAGCCAGGATTGAAGCTGAGGTGTGCATAATGACCTCTCTTTTTCATCACTGTGAAATAAGGAATTAACCACCTCCCTACCTCAAGCAACAACATCCAAAACTCTTGCAGGACTCTGCTTTGCCTAGCAAAAGCCTGGCCCTTAATGGTTATTTAGTGGCCAATGGAGACTAGAAAGCATTGGAGAGGTATCTCGCTGTAGCCCTATAACCAGCTACAGAATAACAAAGACCTCACCACAGAACTAGTAGTTCTCCAGACATTCTGAAGGAAGGCATCACGGCTGTAGTTTGTCTTAGAAGCTAAGCAAGATTATTATTGGTTAGTACCTGGATAGGAGACCTTCAACAAATATCAGGAGCTGTAGACTATATTCCAGTCCTCATCTACACTGTCTATATAATGCAGTTCAATCAGGGGAAGGAACTAGCAAAACCACCTCTGAGTATTTCTGTTCAAAGAAAACCCTATGAAGTCCATGGGCAATTTGTCAACAGGCAACATGAAAGCACATATACATACGCGGCATTTTCTATTGTTGTTTTATTTTGTTGGAGCATGTAAGGAATCAGTGTGTGTGTATGTGTAAACTGTAAAATAAGATGCATTAAGCTGATTGGTCGGACTATGCCCGGGGAGCAGGCTGAGCCTGAGACTTTTGGATACTGTTACATTTTTGTTCAGGCTTCAACTATGCAGGTGCTTGGAGCAGCAGAGAGAGAGAAGCAGGCAGATAGAGACAGAGCTTGGAGTGTGGCCTCGCTTCTTGTGCTGCTGAAGGAGTTTATCTACATGGACAAAGAAAGACATTTTTAATATCTCATAAAAGTATATTATGTGAGTTGATACAGCTGATCACATTGTACATACAAAGTGTATGTACGAAGTGTAAACTACTTGTTATTCATTGTTCATCTATGTGGCATATTCTCTTTCTCTGGCAAGGCAGTGTGTGGACTGATCAAACGTAAACTTCTCATGGTTTATTTTACATTAAGCCACATATTTCATGTACTGGAATCTAGTAGATAACATGTGAGATGTTTTGAATAAATTGCTTTCTTTACATGTTTCCTAGACTCTTGACTAATCAGAGATTGATAATATTCTCACTAGAAAGAATTAAATATCAGAATAATTAGAATTTATTTACTTCATTATTATCATTCCACCTAATTGTACTGTGGGAAACAAACTTGAAATTGCCTTTTTTGTGTTTGGCCAATAAGTGAAGTTTGATTCATTTTGCTCCACTTCTTTGGAGCTTATGAGCCCCTTGGTCCAGTGATCCCACTTTAATCCAAAAAAATCCCAGTTTGAGTTTTGTGAGTGATGTGAGTTTTGATAAAACTCTGAAATTAGTGCGTTTGAGTGGGACAGAATACGGTATAATTCACATCATAAACATATGATAATTGTCATATACAAATGTGGTTGGCTAGACTTGAGAGACTTGAATATGGCAAACTTAGACGAGCGTAACAATCTACGAAATGCAAAGTCAAAATATCTATCCCGGCTCTTCATTATTAGAACTTTCTCATATGTATCATCTCTGAGATTTTTACTCTAACATTTTCAACCAACAGAATGGAGCAAAGCCTTGCGTGGCCACTCATTTCCTAAAGCAATTAAAACTCCTGACTCAGTGCAAATGTGAAACAAATATTGTGTACTAACGAAGTTATGACTACATGAAATCTAATCAGTAAATGTTACAAAGCAAAATATACATATGTCTAAGGATTGTGGGTCTGTTTGCCTACAGTTTTAAATAATATTTATTCATTTCAATATAAATATTTTCTGAAATATAGATATATATATATATATATATATCTCAAAACGTAAGTCTGAACAAATGTTATTATGATTTTTCTGTTCCCTTCCAAGCTGAAATGATGGCACCTCTCCTTCCGACAGAGGCAAATCACTCCCTAAGCTCAGTGACTTCCTTGACATGCTGTAAAACGGTATAAAAAGGCAACTGGGAAAATGGGTGAGAGTTCAGTTTCTCTCTGGGGGAAATGATAATAAAGGAAGTCACTTAATAAAAGAGAAGAAAACTTCAAGCTTAAGGTACAAAATATGCATCATGTGAAACTAGAGACCCCATTTATGTATCTAGTACTATAGTTTTAGACTACAGTCAAGATTTTTTTAAAAAAGAAATGTTAGAAGAGTACGTAGAACCAAAACCAAATAAATACTCTGTCAATAAAAATAAGAAAATAAAAGTAAATTCACCTCTAGTAGTCCACCTCTAAAATAGTTATGTGTCTAGGAAATTATAAGTCTTAATTTTGTGCTGGAAA